GAATCTCGCCTTCCTTCCAGGGAAGATCACAGCCATATCGCGATAAAAAATGCAATACATTTACTTAGACATGGATTTGGATTTACATGGACTTTGCACCCTCTTGACGCACCCGGAAATCCTAACAAACCATACACGGTTCCGAAAACCTAATTTGTCCATGCAATGGCTCCTTCTCTTGTGGCCTGAAGAGGTTAATAAGAAAACGGCCCGACGAGTAGGACGAGGGCGTAGGCCGATACAGGCGCTCGTGAGGGATTCGCATCTTCCACGGCGAGGGCAGCTTGGGAGACAACAATGGACTGAAGGTGCCATTCGAATATGTGATTTGTATGTTCTAATAAGAGGAATTTTAAAAAAATTGAAGGAGCGATACACATATTTTTTGTGTACGGTGTGATACAATACGGTGATACCAATATTTTTTGTTTACGGTGTGATACAGATTTCTATGATGTTGAAAATTCAGTATAGTGAATGAAACATATATCGTGCCATTTCTGAATTCCTGTAAAGTACAGTGATACAGAAGAACCTCATTATAGTTAGAAAGATATGGTATCGCAGGATGAAATCGACCATGTCAAAACTTTTGCGTATCTGGGTGCAAAATTGTCCATGAACGAGAGTTGGAATAGTAACATAGTGGCGACTCAAAGTAAAGAAAGAATTGCGCTCAAAGAAATAGTTTGCGCTGTGCGCAGAGTAATGGAATTGACTTAAACACGTGGAACATAGTATTTAAATCGCTAATCCTCCCAGCTATGAATTATGAGGCGGAAATCTGGAGTGTGAACAGGATACATCGATTGAAATGCATCGAAACAGATTATCACAAATTAATTCTCGGAGTCTAAATTCGCACAATACGTGGAATAGAACTGCTAATTTCTGACAGACTTTCGATTATTAAAAGGTGTGATATCCTTGCAGCAATGAGCAATACACGCTCGCTAGTGGCGCAAATTCAAACGAGTCCGGTATATGGGTAGCGAAGGTTACGTTCACACACCTAGAAGTGACGCAAGAGGGGGATACGCTTGGCTTAGGGTTGGGGAGAGGATGCAACGTGGATCGGAAACTAGAATGGCAATGGCATCTATGTGATTTGTGGTGATAAGGAAGATTAGATCTACATCCCTTTAAATTGTTGTGCTACCGAAACATAGAGAGGAAAATTGATTGGATTGAAGAACTACTACTTCCAACGTAGAAAGTAACGCTCACACATAATATATTAGGTGATAGCCGTTTTCACTTCATGAAAGTATTAGGAATATTTCTAGGAGTGTTTCGTACTATTAGGGAACCGGAAATTAAGGAATGGAAAAACAGTATAGGTTAAGCCTGACAGTACGAGCGAAACCTAGTCTGGAAAGGAAATAAATAAGTTAATAATAACGAATAAGTTAATCAGTAATTAAGTCAAGTTAGTATATTGATAAGTAAATAAGTCGTGAATAATTTAATAAATAAGTAAAATAATAAACAAATAATTAGCCAATAAATAATTAAGTGAGCGCATCAGGGGGAAATGGGAGTGGGTGTCCTAGAGGTAAGCGTAGAGGCGAGGGTGCGGACGATTTTCTCTGGGGGTTTGATTTCAGGTGCTGAGGAGGTCAATGTGTGTAAGGAGAATGTGTCACGGCCGCGCCAAGAAATACATCGTTTAGGAAAAGGTTGGTAGATTAGCATGTATTCGCCTACTGACGGCAGATTTTTACCCCTTCTGAGATTTTTCCCTTAGCAGTACCTTGTCAGGAGTGGATTCTGAGACGAATTTTGGGAGGGGATATTCAAAATGTTTACGTCGAATATTTTTTAGAAGAAGCAATTAATTGCTTATTTACATTTTCAGAGCACAATACAGATTCGAAATGAAACACATTGGTGTGTTAAAAGAGTATTTGGAATCGATATTGCCACGCAATGACAAAAAAGTACTTAGTAGCTTCTTCTAAAAAATGAGTTTAATAACTTTTTTCTTTTTTAAAACATGTATTTGCTTACATCCACTATAATTTTACTTTACTGCTTTTGCAAGGGTGTGAATTGAATGAATACAGAGTTTTCTAACAAGAGTTCCTATTAGGAAATCAACCCTTGCTGAGGATTATTTTGAAAAATGAGACAAGTAAAAGTTAAAGTGGGTCAAAAATGTCTGGGTGAGTTCGTATATTTTACATATCAGCCGAGAGATCCTGTCGCTTAGAGGCTACGTTGAGTAATCCCAGAGGCAGCCTGCGATGTGGCGGGGCCGCGAGCGCGAGTCCGAAAGTGGTGGCCGAATGTTTGGAGTGCGCCCTGCCCTGCCCTGGCGGGCGATAAGTGGGCGATAACGCAGCCCCGGGCGGGCGCCAGGCTCCGCTGCGCCGCAGCGCGCGGCGACACTGCCTTTGCACGCAGGCGCTCGGCTTGCTCTCAGCCCCCGAGACGCCGCCGCCGCCGCCGCCTTCCACCTGCCCTTCCACTGGCTCCGCTCCAGGACCAGGGTGGAGGGAGGGGACGGGGAAGCGGCTGAAAGGGGATCTGGGCGTCTGCAGAGCAGGCTGCCGCCCTCGCACATGCGTGGGAAACACTCATCTTTCACGAAAACTACAGGTAGTAAAGAAGGATTTTATGTTAGATCTGTTTGTAAAGTCAAGAAATAAATCAAAAGCCCTATACAGTATTTCAGTAAAACTCTGAGTGTGCAGATGTGCGTGTGTGCGGTTCTGTCATTCGCACTTATACCACTTCCCGTGAACCAATCGAGACGTATGGAGTGTTTTAATTCTTTCAGGGGGAGCACGCTTCAGCATTGCCCCGGGCCAAAAACAGGGCTCGGTCTCCTGATGGGTATTGGTAATTTGTTTTCGGATCCGGCTAGAAGATTCAAAGAAATGTCCAAAAACGTGCTTTTCGTGTTTTGGCACTGCGATGTTAGTGATAATGCCAGGAAATAAACCAACGCCTTCTAAATCGATCTATGAAAGTAGGTGGCATTGATTAAACTCCAATACCCAAACAAAGTTTTAGCAAAATACGCCAAAATTTTCTTTCGCGTTGTTGGCAACACTGATGTTGACATCTTTAAGTGAACAGTTGAATTACCAAGTAAATCGCACGGCAGTTTTATTTCAATCTGGATTCGAATTATCGTATTTAAAAAATATATTTGCCAAAGCAGTATCGCCCACAGTATCGCCTCGGAAATTATTAATCTTGAAGAATTTCACGTGAATACGGAGAAAACAAAACTGAACAATGCTAGAGAACGAATGAACGTTATGTTCTACTTCTGACATTTACGTCTTACATAAGTGTGCAAATACCAATTTTCAAATAAATGTGAGCCACAAATTATTTTTATTATACATTAACTAACACATTATTCACATAAACATACAAAACAGTCGCCTTTTAGTGTTAGATTCGTATGCACGCTAGATTCGCACACAAAACAATTAATAAAGCAATTGCAGAAGTAAAAGTGAACAAAATAGACTGAGTTTGTGAAGTTTTAATCTCTTAACAATTTAGGGGGAATTATGGAAGTGATAAGGAAATTCGAGAAGAATCAAATGTAGTGTGACGAGGCCCACTACCCCTCTTTAATTTATTCTTATCCGTACTTAATTTATTTAATTGACTAGCTCGATTGTTCTTGTATTTCTGAGCGCTTCCGTTATTAAAAATCTCAGTACTGCTTCCGTCTCTTTTTCGTGGGCTGAAACATACTGCTCTTCCAAGAATTCGGTTGGAGAATGCTTAAATGTATGTTAGAAATGTTTGCTAACTTTGCTGGTCGTTAATTTCGAATAACACACTGTAAAAAGTATTTTATCAAAGGACAACATTCATACAAAGGAACGACGGTTTTCATGATTAATCTGCTTCCAAAATTCTGGGGAAAACCGAAAGTAGGAAAAAGTGAACTATTTCCCATAAGAAATTATGTAAATCCAATTAATAGGCTCCAGACCGAAAAAATAAATTTTGTTCGTCACTTTTCTAGTTTTCAGTTCCTTCCTTTTATGAAAGGACTAACGATCGAAATTTCTTTGGAACCAGAGAGGATTATTTGGCAGTAAACAAGCAACTCATTAAACAAGCACATAACACAATGGAATATTACGAAAGGTTTGAGGAAGTCGCGTGGGGTGATGATCACTCAACGAGAAACGAAGGCAAACTGAGTGGAGACAGCATGGGTGGTTTATGAGAGGCCTCGATTGCGGAAAATGAGCGACCTTGTCACGCAGGAAGACGGACAGTTTAGTACGCACTATTTACTAGGGTTATACGAAAACTGAGACTATCTTTCAAGTTCTCGAATCCGGATAGTGCGAGAACTGAACCTTGCGTAAATCAAAATTTGACTGAATTATCAATTTACTTTTAATTCTTTGCCGAAATTTTAACTTCTGTATGATTTCACTACAATTTCTTCCTAAATTGCAATTGCCGCTCCACACACCCAGTGCCGGACCTAGACAGTATTGGGCCCGGGGCAATGCTGAAGGGGGACCCCCACTGAAAAAATTAAAAAGTATGAAAATTAAAGATCTGAATGTATTTCGTGACCAAATAATACAATTTCCACTGTGATCTTAAAACCTCAAAAAGTTTTGTTACATCAGTTCGTATTTAATACAATGTCTTGTTAAATACATGAAATAATAATAATCAATTTCAGTAGAACCTATTTTAAAGTTGTCATTTGATTCATTTCATAGAGTCCTACCTGATAAATTATGACTACAATCACATTTAAGGTAAAAAATAATTGAAAATGATATATAATACCAGACCACTGTACCGCGACTTATAAAATTACAATGAAGTTCTAATTATTTACTCTTATTAGCACTCTCGAGTTCTAATTTCTTTTTATCACTTTTTTTGTTTTCCCATCAGTCCCATCATTGCGCCCCGGGCGATCGTCCGGTTAGCCCATGCCTAGGCACTGCACACCTCCAGTGGGCAGAAAGCGAGCGTGTGGGCGCGGGCGTTCGTACCTTGAGCGGCTGGCCGGGCTCCTGCGCGCGGCACGAGCAGGGCGAGATGTCCCTCCGCTCGGCGCAGTGCAGCGACGACCCCGCCGCCAGCCCCAGCAGCGTGTACAGGAAGGTGGACATGGCGGCCGCGACTGCGGCGCGCATACTGCCTCCTCCTGCTTCTCCTCCTCCTCCTCCCCGGCCACCGCCCGCGGGCGGACGGGACGCCACGGGACGAACGTCTCCTGCGCGCGGCTTCAGCCGGCCGACCTCTGCCCTATGGCCCCTCCTCGCCTCGCGTCGCCCACGCCGCTGCTGCCGTCTGCTGCTGCCTCTGCGACGGCGGACGCACCGCCAGCGCACTCGCGTGTGAATGGCGCGAGCCGCCTCGCGAACGCCACTTATACGCGCCCCCACGCACCCGCCCGCCCGCCCGCCCGCCGCCACCCAACAGGCGCTTCTTATCAAAGCGGGCGCCGGCCTTGCAACGCGAGGCGCGCGCGTTCTTTGATGTCGCCCGTCTGACATTATGCGCGCCAGCGGCCGCGCCGGGCCCTGCTCCATTAGGCCCGCCTGCCGGGGGCCGGAGCGGAGGAACGGCGGCGTGGCGGGCCGGGCGCAGGCCGCGGCGCCGCCGCCCCGCCCCGCCCCCGCCCCCGCCTCCGCGCGGAGACGGCCGCCCACGGCAGCCGCAAGCACGCGCAGCGGCCTCTCGCTCGGCTTCGGCACAGCGTCTCTCGCTTCCCTCAAGCGACAGGGGTGGATTGTATATACTTTGATTTCTCTATGGTGGCCGATGACATTAAGTCATTGTTACACCTCCTGCCTTATAAAATGAATCAGTTTAATTAATGCGCGAACGCCCTTCTCAACGGATCTCCTGGCCTCAGAAATGTTAAAATGGTTCATTTTTTAAGGCGGGAGATGTAGCAATGACTTAATGTCATCAGACACTATAGAGAAATCGAATTATATGCATTAATGACATTAGGTCGACATGGTTCAAATAAAACACTCGATTGGCATTTGTGGTATCAATCTTTCAATAGTCCTTGCAATACCATCTTCTTATAAGAAAATATACAAACAAGAAATACCATTTCTTGGAAGAGTGCCCTAATGTGACAACTTCAACTACAACTCATTTGCTTCGAATGTTCTAAACGGACGGCCGACTGTTTAATCCTTAACGGACGCGCTCCTTTCCTATAGACGGAGACGGGGTCTCAATATTAATATTGAGTATTAAAACTCCAAAAGTTAAAATTTATTTTCATCTTCATTTCGAATAACAATGTTCAATATTTCATTATTTTTGTGGCCTTGTAATTAGTTCGTGCATAGGTCCTCATAAGAAATTAATCCGGACACGAACGGGAGATTTTTACTGCTCTGGGTAAACTCATGCGTCCACTGCCACAACCAAGTTGTTAGATTGTTACGAATAAATCGACCCCGCGACTGCTCCTGGTTTTGTCCTAGAAACGTTCGTAAATTTCATTTTTATACTTCAATATATAAAACAGATTTCAGTCCGATTTTACTGTTGAAGGCAATTTGTGATACTAAGAATAAAGCGGGCAGGAATTTACTTTCAAAATGCTGCGCCTGCTCCGATGGCGGATAAAAACGCTTCATCAGATCAAGTTCCGACAGCAGAACGGGAAGAAAACATAAGCAGGTAGGGGAGCGCAGAAGATTGGATAACTTGGCTTGGATAACTTGGCTGGTTGAAGAGTGGGGCGGTTTGGAGAGCGGAGCGGGGTGGAGGGCGCAGCAGGTTGGAGAGCGGGGCGGGTTGGAGAGGGACATGGAGTGTGGAACGGGTTGAAGCAGGATGAAGTGAGGTGGACCGTCGTCAGCAGTCCTAGGCGACCTAGGGGTCAATCCATTTTCAATGGTCCAGAATTTAATAAATTGGTCGCACGACCATCTCGAAAAAATGCATACTTTGTACATAAAGTCCCTTGTGTTTTGACTGTCAAAAACGCTTTTATGTTGTTTTATAAAATTTTGTTTACAAATGGCGGACATTTTTGTTTTCCGCCGTGCGCCATTTTTCGCGTTTGTAAACCTTTACTCTTCTCTAAATTGGTGCTGGATTATTCAAGCATTTTGGAATAAATGACATTGGATTCCGTATACTCTGGCCTACAAATAGAAATATTTTTTTCCTACCTTATGTGTTTCTGTTTGGGAAATACTTGCAACCAAATCTCTTGAACGCGAATGAAATACTTTCGATTTTCAGAGAATACTTTCTGAGAGAAGGAATAGAACTACAGCCGTAATTTTTCTGTACGTTTACACATAACAGTACAGTTACTTTCTGTAAAGTATCAATGGTAAGCAACTTACCACTTGAAAATTGCACCCTCTTAAAAATTGTAATTTTCGTTTTTTTCACATTTTGAACTGCAATATCTCTGTTGTGGGAACCAGACAAAAATCTGAAAATTGCACAGGTACTAGATCGCTATGATACCAAACTTCAGTAAAAAATTCAACTTTTAGATTAAGCTCAAAGTATTTTTTTTTAATTGTAAACTTTCGGAAAATTAAGCTTCATTTCTACTTTGAGAACACGAGACAAAAGTAAAATTTAATTTTCAAAAGATAACCAAGAAAACTATATTTTTAACAATAGAGGATGATTCAAATATTTTTATAAAAACAATGTTATATAACAGAAAGTTAATTTTAAATACATTGAATTACAAAATGTTCAAAAAGAGAATGAATTGTATTTTCAGAACTTAATGTTCACTTTCGGTTGATGATGATGTGTACTTGTATTTTATTGTGCTTTCTGATTATGGTATAAAGCAGTGGAAGGATCTGGTTCCTTTAATTTTCCAAAGGTGAGTGTATTTTTCTTCTAAGATATTAGAATGAATTATATTAAATTCCCCAGTTCCAAAAAAACGTAGGTGATCCCTTTAATGTGTGCTTTACAGAAACTGTACACGTCCTGGGGTGTAAGAATTTCATTGTTTTGAGGTGGTTGTAAACTGGCCTTCGTTACGCATCGCTTTGTACTACTTCCTGCGCCATCGTAGGCATTTTTGACACGATATGACATAAAAAAGTGCCATTCAATGTAAGTCCAAAATCTATTTTATAGTAACACATATTGATAAAATTCTTTCTGTTTTTGAACTGGCTTGTAGCCCCATCAGAAAAATTTATCTTTTTTTAAAAAAAAGTCTATGTTCTTTAATGAAATTGGTGAGTTGAATTCGAAATGCATAAACCGTTGTGGTACTACGTTCAGGGTGATCGCTAATGACACAGAAGCTATGCATAATATCTTTCCTCTTCATCTTTATAGTAAAATGCAAATGGATGAACTGTTGCGTGCCTGTTAACCCAGTGGAACCCTTGGGGCTTCATCTTGTATCAATTGATCTTACGATTTTGTAATAAAATGATGATCCTTTTCTGATGAAAAGTTTCAAGTTTATCGATCAGTATTTCAAGAACCTCTTATCTTGGTTTTACCATTGTCATCAGTTCGATTCTATCTTGGATCACCCATTGCGTATATGCTATATTGACTGGCATTCATTCCTCTTCCCATTCTTCAAACAAATCAACCGACGCCTTTTTTCCTGGACATTTTTGAGAACTTCCCATCACACAGTTAAAAATATTCGGTTTGCATACCAGAATTTCCTAGAGGTTCCTTTAGTAACTTTGAGCTTGGCGCCATTAATAATGAACTTTATATTCTGGTAGTATAGACACAGACATTATGAGTTCCAGAACTCTCCGCGATCACACACCACTTGGGTATTAAATCACAAATTTTTGGTCTTCCCATTTTAATTTGAGGATTGGTCTTCTTAAACTCCCAAAATAATTCGTTTAAATTACAAACAATTAACCGCTTTTGTCTCTGAATCTTGATACCATTTTCTTTTAGAGAAACACAATCTCTTTTTTATGCATCAGACAACTGTTTTCGTCATGTTCATAAAAATTGGTAACTTTTTTATTTTCTTCATTTAGCAAATTTAAAGCTTTCCTTTTTTGTAAGTCAGGTAAAATACCCTCTTCTTTTACCAGGTCTCTTGCTAATTTTACCATACATTTCGACACTTTAAATTCATTGCTTACTTTCTTTTGACTCCAAGAACAGGAAAGTAAACTGATAATTTTTCTTTTCTTTTCTTTGTTAGCGAATTAGTTAGTTTTAGTTTCTTTGTTAGCACATTTATTTTATAATTTTTTCCATAAGTCCAACGTAGTTGGAATGTAAATTTTGAGCATTCTGTGGATTTGATATCAGAATTTATTTTTCGAATGAAATTTCCAGGTATTTTTTAATTGTTGTGAAAACTTTATCAATTTTTCATTTCAAAGCTACAGATATTTCTTATTCATGTAATTTTCTGATTTTACAAGTAGGCGATAATCCTAAAATGGCACATGCTGAATCTAAGTTTTCCATTGTTTCTGAGAAGTCACTGAATTCTTTATCTGAAGTTCCATCATCTCTATTGTGAACAATAAAAATGTTCGAATAACATGTTGGACACAATGATTTTCAGAATATGAGATTGATCGAAGCATTTTTATTTTTGTACTAATGAGCCATAATAATAAGTTATTTCTATCAATCCCTTTGTTACTGTCTTTTTATGAATTTTGCAAGAGTCTGAGCAAGATTGGCCGTAGAGTTTAATTTTTTGTAAGTATTAAGCAGACGTGATATTAGAGTTTATCCTTAACGAAAACAACACTTTTTCTTCTTCACCAAATTCTTCAAACACTTCATCTTCTTCAATTGACTTAATGTCCTTTGAAAAAACTCCATACACAGTTTTATGTAGTAACACAAACTTCATTGGTAAACTCACGTACACACCACTGACATTCCATTTTGATCAACGGTCACACAACTACTGAAAGTCTCAGAAACACTGAAAATGCGACTAGTTTAGATGGAAAGGGAATACAACAATGAAGCAAAAAACGCATATGCGCTTCAGAAGCCTGAGCGATCCTTGGCGCATCGCGTTGGTTCTGTCGGATGCACAAACCTCAGGTTGTTAATATTCTCAGAAGAGATAAGAGGTGGTTAAGTTTCGTAGTAGCTTCGAAGGCACCTTCTGACCTAATATCCTCTGATTCTCTTGAATTGTTTCTTAACTCAGTCACAATTTTTGTATGAAAGGAGTACTCAGCAACCATCCATATCTCTGATGAAACGATCAGAAATAAAAACTAATTGGCGATTTTAAATGCGAAAAAATAAACAAAACGTTGAAGTTATTGCTTTTTTAAACTTTTATAAACTACTTTTATATTAGCCGGTTCAGCTCCTAACATCAAGATGATCCTATTTTCTATTACTAATAATTTTGATTTAAAGTAAAATAAAGTAATATTAAAAAAATATAATTTAGGCAACATATTTATTAATAATAAATTGTTGTTACTTTATGTTTATTAATAATAAATTGTAATAAAATATTTTCAATCTGTGTAGGTTTTAGTTTAAAGTAGCTTCAAAATAATTATTACTATCTGTCACTAGTTATTCCCAATGTAAAAATAAAGACTTTTAAAAAAACAATTAAAAAAAATATTTTGAACTTAATCTAAAAGCTGAAAATTTTACTGAAATTTGGTAACATAGCGATCTAGTACCTGTGCAATTTTCAGATTTTTATCTGGTCCCCCAACAGTTCAAAATGTGAAAAAATTGAAAATTCCAAAATTTAAAAGGATGTAATTTTCAAGAGGTAAGATATTTACCATGGATATTTTACAGAAAGTAACTATACTGTTATGTGTAAACACACTGAAAATATTAGGCTGTAATTGTATTCCTTCTCTGAGAAATTATTCTCTGAAAATCGAAATTATTTCATTTGCGTTCAAGAGATTTGGTTGCAAACACTTCCCATAGAGAAAAAAATAAGGTAGATAAATAATATTTTTATTTGTAGGCCAGAGTATACTGAATCCAATATAATTTATTAACATATTGTTAGAACAATTCAGCACTGAGTATTTTAGAGAAGAGTAAAGGTCTACAAGTGCGAAAAATGGGGCACGGCGGAAAACAAAAATGTCCGCATTAAAAATGTTTTTGAACTGCTAATACATAAGGGAATTCATGTAGGACGTATGCTTTTTTTTTCAAGATGGTCGAGCGACTAGTGATGGACCACTACATTTTACCAAAACTCATAATTCAATATTCCTGCCAAATAAGTAATGGTCAAAACATTTGAGCAACGCAGTTTGGAGCAATTGAAGACGCCGCCTCTCCGTCTGCTGGTGATCATAATTTGTTTCTGATTTAGTTAGAACAATACTATTTTCAAATAAAAGGCAAATATATTGCATCGAGGGCCTAGTCTTATTAGTGAACTCTGTAAGAATCTTATACTGTAATAAAGTAGCAGTGATCTTTCGGAGTAGTGATTTGCCGATGAGAATGGTGTGGGATGCAGGAGGGAATGGATGTTGAGGAGTACGATAGGAATTATTTTACTGTCCCAAATGAACGAAGTTTTACGTCAAAAAGGATTGTCGAGGACTGTATCACCCTGCCTTTCTGCCTGAAACTATCCACATCAAATCTAGACTCCTAGTTTCGAATGTTTGAGCGGATAGGCCCAAGCGTAAAATTTATTCAAACGATCACACACTTTTAAACAGTATTACACTTGAGCTTTTGTTTCAGTTTGATAAATTATATTCACTACAGAAGTGTGAGTTTTCTCAAGCGAGATCACCTCTGCTCGGACCTAGAAGCACGAGGCGAAACTTAGCTCCTTTTGCCTCTTACGTGGAGAGCCATCAGCGACATAGTGTAGGTTGCATAGTAGATATTGATAAAGAACGACCCAAAATATGGTTTGTAGGTATGACGATTGCAATTTTACCATTAAAAGTAGTTTAATATGTTTTAATTACCTGCAGTTTTATCCCACAATCCATCCTCTGGATCGATTATAAAGTTTCAAGATATAAAACTGACAGCCGGGTGCTTTACCTCGGCCGCTCTCTTGGGCGCAGGGGGACTGCGCAGAATAAAATGTATTTTTGACTTCGTATCTGAACCGATATTAAAAAACACAAATGTACTTGACGTTTTTCCAAATTAAATTCAGTATTGCGTGAAAGTGTTGTCAAAAAATGTGAAAGAAAAGAAGGTTAAAAGTGTTTCTTGGATAAAACTTCGTTATATTAAAAACCAGCACGGTAGAGCCGTAGCAAAAGAAGCACAAATGATAATTGCAGTATACGTAATAAAATTCACTCAATTTAAATGTTTCGTGAATATGGAATTTTACAATAAATACTAGTGGTGCTAAAACAGCGGGTACTTTCTGGCCTGTGTTTTCACACAAAATTACACGAAAAGTACTCAAATGTTCGAAACATTGTACATGACCTTATACATTTCAAAATTTATCAATGGGAGAGATCGATGGGGGAGTATCAATTTTGGAGACAATGCGCAGAATGTTTTAGCCGCTAGCGTTTTCACCGACCGCCATACAGACGGCTAGACGTTTTGCCGTCATGCGATTTTTCTGTATCAAGGACCTACAAAACGAATTCTGGCTACACCACGTATAAGAGGATTTTGTTTCTAAATTTAAGGCTCTGTAAGAAGAGTTTTTCTGTCGGAAAAATCTCGACTTTACTCCGTAGCGACAAAGTAAAAAGCACGGGCAGATTTCCGGAGAGCGGCACGATTACCCCGTCGCAAGTCCCCACGATGTACGGTTTCTCGAGGCGCTTACGAACCTGACAGTACTTCTAGTTCAGTTCAAATACATTTCATCCATTTAAGTACGTAATACACTTCAGAAATTATTTAGCTACTTTTGAGTTCTCTTTTCAAATGAAAGTTCTTTAACAGACGATTGTTTTCAATTAGTGTATTCTTCGCTTCATTATTGTTACAATAGTTCACAAACTCCAAACTACCCGTTCATCCTACACGTTCATCCTCAACGCCTTGTCTTGTTTCAACTTATTACTAGGGGGCCTTTAAAACCTCTCCAAAGATACATAACGGCTCGTGTAAACTATTTTATTAAAAAATATTATCATTGAAACAAATCAATATTTGCAATTCTTAAGGCGATGTTTCTCATTCTCTCTCTCTCTCTCTCTCTCTCCCTCCCTCCCTCTCTCCCTCTCTCTCTCTATCTCTCTCTATCTCTCTCTATCTCTATCTCTCTCTATATCTATCTCTATCTCTCTCTATCTCTATCTCTATTTCTATCTCTATCTCTCTCTATCTCTATCTCTATCTCTATCTCTATCTCTCTCCTCTCCTCTCCTCTCCTCTTGCTCAACTGTCGTAGTACGAGAAGAAACATCAACTCTGTTCGAAGATCTAATGCCGGTGTTTTTTTCGGATATTAAGTCTGCTTCCGATTCTCTAAGGAACGAGGGAATGCTTATGTGCTGGGCAGAAGTGATTTACTCGTTTTTTACCAAACTACTTCCACGCTGGAGACAACGGTGTTTCCGTGACGAAGTGCTTCGGAGACACCGTATTAGGCACGTACTGTCCGATTTAAATATAGTGACTGGCCACAGATCATCATGTGGACGCGGGAATCCAACGGGGAAGTTCAGAACGAAAAACTAAAGTATTGACCAAGCTCCCGACTAGATAACCGCGTCCAGTTGATGATCTGTCACAAGTCATTGTATTTAAATCGGAATACACCCCCTGCGTTTGAGCACGCATGTCAACAACGCGTCGCGTTTTTTTCTGAATGTGCAACCGGATTACAGACTCCTGGCGCTGTGCAACAAAAGCGCGCGCGTCGTGCTCCTGGAATTTGCAAATGACTTAGCGCATGCGCGAGTGGCAGCCTTTCAGTTAAGCAGCAGCTGTCTCGCCGCCCTCGCTCGGTGGCTGAGCGCCAATACTCTTGGCTTCGAGGAACGCTCGTTCGTCAATGTGAGCCGTGCGTGGGGGGTGGGGATGGAACGGCGCGGTTGGCGATAGCACGAATCCAGCGGCCCTGGAAGGCCAAATATTTAGGTCTCCCTGGATCGCGGGTTTACTGGCCCGAACGCAAACACCTGCAAAACAACCGTCAGCCCACAGCTTCGCTTTCAAGTCCTGTCCGCCCTCGTCCGCCTTCGGCCCTGCGTTTCCGCCGCGTGGGTTCCCGCGTGCTGGAGGCTTCATCTGTGCTTTCGTAGCTCCACGTAGCGTTTTCGCAGCCACGTCAGCCGGTCCGCACAACTGAGCGCGACGCCGCGGGTGGCAAAGCGGCTTCACCCCGGATGAGCCGTTTCTCCGTATCTACGCTTGTGATCTTCATAAGAACACTTTCAAATAAGTGACACTAGAATACAGGAGAATGATGAGAACAAGGGACTGCGCAGAAGCGTTGGTCTATCGAACTGCTTGAAACGTTTCGTGGAAAATACCGTCACTAATGCGGTGTGATGGTTATATTCACTAGTTTGGCCAATATATATAATTTCTTACTGTTATGTTAACTCAGGAGTATTAAATTTGATTTTTTGTTGCGTATATTCTAGCGACTATTCCACTCAAGAAATTAAAACTAATAGGGTTTAACTATACACACAAATGCCTCAATCCGGTGAATCTCAACAACTTTATCGCTTTTTCTATCCGATTTTCCTTTCGCTTCTCCATACTGTCCAAACTGTGACTCTTTTATATTAGAAGGCGGTATACATCGATCGCTATGTCGATATCCAATAAACTGCATATGTACCATAACCTCTTTAATTTTAACACAGCTTTCAGTTATTTTCAATATTTGGCCCACTTTGGAAAGCTGTTGGACACAATTGCATTCGTGAAATAGTCATATTAAATACTACTTATGCTTCGGAAATTCTCAGATAAACTCTCTCATCGCTTCGCGAGTCGGGGATTTATGGGCAATTACCAAAGCACTCGTGGTATTACCTATGATAATTATTGTAAAGGACCTAATTGTAAATGCGGAGGAAAAAAACTTATTCTGAACACTTGTTTTTAATACATTTCAATTTATTATCTTTTTATTATATAAAATGGGTATAAACAATAGTCTATCCTAAACATGCCCGGCTAAAGTCTATCCTAAACATGCCCGGCAAGACCTCATGTAACGAGTTAACAATGTGTCTCGCGAAAAATCGATTTCGAAATTTGAATGGGATTATACGTTTTGGGGTCCACTGATACCGAAAAAGTTTGTTCTTCAACACGTCCGTCCGTCCGTCTATCCGTCTGTCTGACCGTCTGCCTGTCCGTCTACTTGTCCGTATCTCTCTCAGTCTGTCGTCTGAAAACAACACTTTGTGTAGACTTTTTTCAAACAGAATACTCCCCGGTCCATCTGGTATTACCTGCTCTGCGATTTTGAATAAGATTCTTTAAATTTTGGTCGTACTTTACATGAAGCCCCTGGGATATATTCAAAATTTCTCAAAAATGAGCTCCAAATTTTTCTGTAATTATCTTGTAATAATAGAGTGAAACACATTAAAAAGAGTGGGATAGATTCGATTTTTGCTTGGAAATTTTGAAATTGCAAAAATCAGAATATTTTTGGGCGTCTTCCTACAATTGCAATATTGAAGGTAGAGATTTTTCCTTCAAATGAAATTTGTTTTCCATTGTTATTTCATTAAGTTCATGTACAGGTTTTTGAAAATTACGATATTTTCTGTGTATATTTTGTAAATATCAAAAACAAAAATTCCTCAAACAAAGCTTCAATTTTTTCTTTAAAATGTTGGTAGGAGTAGAGCTAAATCTATCGTCTCATATATTATTTCAGCAGTTTACATACCTTTTGAGGCTCTCACACATACCCGATCTTTATAAATAGGGTCTCTAAAGAATAAGTTTCACAGTGACGTGACAAACTGCACTTTGACTTTGAAAATATATAGAGTTTGTTTAAAAAAGAAAAATATTCATGCCAAATGCAACCCACAGCACTCGATTAGCTAAATAGTAACTTAACTCCTTAACAAAGCATTTTAGGGCCTTAAAAACTACAATATTGAGGCCAAAGACCTCATAAAACGTTCTTCCTATTGAAATCTACAGGATGAAATATTCATAGACATCCTATTGAATTTTTGCTGGTCCGGTACTTATCGAATAGTAGCAATGAAACCTATATTTGAACCATTTGTGATGGTGGCCATCTTTGTGAAGTCACGCTTGGAAGGCTTAGATTCCCCTATCTTATACTATTTATGATTTCTGTGAACACCGTGGTTTGCGCAGACTGACGACGCTTATTTGCATAATTATTAATTCAAAATTCGCTCTTGTAGCCCGAACTAGAAATACTATTAATAATTCCTTGGCACCAATGAAGGGTATTTCTTATGCGTATAGTGCAACCATTCATTTAACGTTTTGCGTGATCTACAAATGCTTTGTGCCCAATTGTGGAGGGAACTGGATGGAAACGGCCCACAAGTTTCACTTTCACGATGCCCTTAGAAAAAATACTATGTCTGGCTTCATCGGTGGGATTCTCACTCAACAAACGAATGTAAGTATTGACATTCTTGTTTCTGTAACATAACCTACAGTACTCATTCACTTGGTATGAAGTATACGTGGTACTCTCAAGAAACTGCGCACGTTTTCTTGAGCCCCGGAATCTCGACCTCCACTCATTTGCCAACAGTGGTTGAATAAAGAATAAATGATAGAAAAGAGAGTTGTAGGCTAAATCTGTTAACAGAAATGTTCGCTCCCGTGTAATGAAACTATTTTTCATCAAAAACGAAGTACAAATATGACAAAATTATTTTTGTCAAAATAATCAAAATAATTTAACAATTTTTAAAAAATATGGTAACAAAAGGCATTTATTACTCTCAGGTGAATATATTAGTTTTATTATTTTTTGGCTCAGAATTGCTTTTCTTGAGATACGTTAGAACAAGCGAGATTTCTCGCATGGGTACCCTAGTAAAACTTACCCATATAAAACAAAGTTGGTTGCAGCCTTTATATCTCAAGTACGGCAGGACCAATTTTAATTATCTCTGAATTGTTGCATTCATCTCCGCCCCGAAGAGCTGAATAACTATTAAAACATCGTCTATAAAATTCACTAGAATTTATATAGTTAAATGATTCCTAAACAAAGCGTTCTAGGGCATTAAAACTTGGGGAAAGATTTCTCTCGTCGTAATCTACAGGATGAGATTTTTTTAACATTCTAATTTTGCTGGAAGGAGATAGGCAGAACAACGTCTGGCGGGTTCCGCTATGGGTACTTTACAAGATGGATGAAAGATATATTGCTCTATTCCATTGTTTTGTTGTTGATGTTTTTTCAAAAATTACAGAAATGTAATTTTTTAACATCTCTCCGTCCTATTCATGTCTCGAGTGCCTGTGCCTTGGTCGACCAGTGGTGACAGTTTGACATCTCTCCCACATTTCCAATATTCCCTTTACCGGCGATTTGTATCGCCGGTATTGAATTTATGAGTACACGTGCTTCAAATGTGTCTCATAATGTTTCTCGCTAACGCAAACGTTTCTTGTGAAATTGAGCACAAAAATTCGAGTTTTCAGAAATATTTAAACGCCATCTTCTTAAAAACGACTCCAATTTTCTTGTGCAAAGTTTTCGAACTGTTAGTGCAAATTGCACTGTAAAAGACGACATAAAACCATTTTGCCTTATTCTATTGTTTGTTCAAAAATTATACTCATGCATTTTGAAATATCTCTCACGTCGTGAATATTTACATTTCCTACAATTTGTATCCATTGTTGAATTTGTAAGTAAAAGTACTTCAAATGATTTAATTGGAGTTTCTCGAAAACTCAAAAGACTTCGGTAAAAAAGAGTTTCAAATTTCACATGTCAATATAGGGCGTTTTACTCTTCTACAATATTGAAGTAATATTTCGGTTCTACCAAATTAAAATGCGTGTTCCCTAAAGTAAACAAACCTTATTCATAAACAGCCCTTGATTGGACTCATTCCTATAAAACATTCATTTCTATAAGGGAGGCAACCAGCTCCCTTAAGTGTCCCTTATGGTTGTCTCGCGTCGCTTTGTCTCTCGTTTGTGGCGCGTTGTCTCGCGTTTTATCAGACAGCAAAATTTTGTATTAATAGTAAAAACAATACATAAGGAAACACTTTTAAATGAAAGCGGCCAAGACTTCGCAGAAAAAGCTGATTTAATTGATTGTCTGGGTGACGCCGCGTCCATGGCAAAGGTGTCGACGTTTCGGTCGCCATTCTGCGACCTTCCTACATTACGCCCTGAGGAAGGTCGCAGAATGGCGACCGAAACGTCGGCACCTTTGCCATGGACGCAGCGTCAGTCGAACAGCCAATTAAATACTGACTCCGGCCGCGAAAGCCTAGGCTCTCAGAATATTTTGAGTTTTATACTCATCACATCGTGCGAAATATAAAAAGCTGATGGGAGCAATCCACTGGAAATGTACAATGACGAAAAGTTCCAAAAGCGGTTTCGCGTAAATAAACCAACAGTAGTGAATACACCTGTGCCGCTGATTGACAAAATCCCCAAGACGAAAGAGGTCTATCGATATCTCCATTAATGAAAGTTCTTGTTGCATTAAGACAGTTGCATTTTATACAACATTATCATTTCAGATGTTTCCTAAATTTTCAAATTCATTCATTACTTTGACTTATAAGTTATATTAATTGTACAGTAGTGCTCAGAAAACTGCATTACCTAAAGAAAATGGGAATTCTGTATTTTTCTAATCCAATAAGCTCTCAAAACTTGTAAACAAATGTAAGTAGAGTTGGTAATGATATATTTTATGTGGATTATAAGATGTTTCTGATTCCATTACCTTTATAACTCAATCGAATTTTACAAATCAATTGGTGTATTTTTAGGATTATATTGCAGGTTACAACTGTAAGAAAGGCAATGTAGTTTTTAGCACTACTGTAAGTACCTAATTCTGATTATGCAAAATGAATAAAAAGGCAAAGCAAATTAATTTAGGAACTGTAAAATGGAATTATTACATGGGGTGATATTTTTTATTATCTGAAATTTTGTTAATAACCTATCTACGTGCATTCCATTTACATTAGAGTACAAGTGTATCAAGTAATTAAACATACCTAGTAACGTAATGAATCATAAAATGATTTTAATGTCCTAAAAACTCGAAATACTCGTCATGCTTTTATGACCTCTAAAACATCTTAAATATGCACTTTAATATTCAACTTAAAATTAACACATTTTCATTGCTTCAATGAACTTTTATTCATTATATCAGGGGACGTCGCCTTCACCTTCCGCGCACTGCCCCCGCACAAGCTCTCTGAAGCTCTGGACGCGCGGGGAGCAGCAAGTGCTACAGGGGATCGCCACTCACGGATGCAGAAACCGCGCGGCGGCGCGAATGCGCGCTCCGCTAGGCCAGCGTCGCTGGGGACGAAGACAACAGTCGCGGCCCGCCACGGACGCTTGATTGAAGTCGGCGCCGTGGCGTGCTTTAAAAGTGTATGTAGTGTTGTGAAGTGTGTTTGTAAGAATGAATGAATGGATGCGTTTGTAAATATAATTATTAATGAATGAATGAATGCGAGTGAGGAAAAAAGTTAAAAGAAGAAAATTGAACAATTTCAAGATTACCCAATTAAAAATTTAAAAAAAGAAGCCTAAAAACTAACAAACCCCAAAGTGGGAATGTGTATAGTTATAGTTGTAAGATAGTTTTAGTTTGTAAGCAATAAAGCCTTCCCTAACTGCACAAGCCAA